AATTTTCAATCTGCATTAATATTAACATTTAGGATTAACGTTAATATTAATATTAACATTTACTCCATCACTTTCTTAAGTCTAGACAATTAAGCCCTTCCACCCAATAAATTAAGCCATGATTTGTAGCTTTCACCAATTTTCCAAGGTGTAAATGTTCAAACTGAAAATTTAGCAATTGACTCTTGGGAGCCAGTTTGAGCTGGCTCCAGCATACCCCTGAAATCAGTGTTCCTTGTGACTGCAATATCTTATCATATTCTTACTTTTTTAAAACAAAAATTTGTGTATCTGTGTTATTTCTCCTACTAAATTTTAAGCAATTTGAATATGAGGGCTGTGTATTATTCATCTTTCTTCCCCTAGTTTCTAATAAGTGACTTAAACATAGTAAAAGCTTAGTAGATTTTCATTAAAATGTTTGCGGTACATTGATTCTACATGTGGTGAATATTGAAGAAAAGACAAAAGCACATAGAAGATCAATTTTATTTCACACCAAAAACTCTTTGCAAGCAAATGTTTCAACACATCTTTACATCTCATTGCGAAGGTCAATTATACTCCTTCCCTTCAGGATTCTGTTTTCTATGGTTAGGTCATACACTTGCTCTTAGGATCCTTGTACCAGAAAGGGACTCAAAATGCTTAAAACAAAAGTTGTCTTGGGGCATTAATAATAAATTATTCTTAAAAATTAATAATTCCTAAATGGACTGTGTGAGCTATTCAAACAGTAGTCTGTGTTGTCAGTTTCTTCTAGGACCTCTGGTTGAAGAATTGATTCATTCCAGCTTACTCAGAGCTCTAAGCAGTGACTATCAGGATCTTTGCAGGCATGAATGTTTGGTTCCAGCTAAGGAAGCATTGAGAAGTGATCAGGCTGATGAACTTCTAAGAGGAGCATATTGAGACAAATGAGGGTAAAAGACTTGTTAGGAAACTATTCTGATTTTCATGGACTGATGGGAGAACCCTCACCTCAGGCCCTCATCCCAACGTGTGGAACAGATTTCAATCCCCTGGCTCCTCTCCACCCTCACCCCCACCCTCTTTCCCTAGGGAAAACTATTGAACACCTGAGGAAGGCATTATTATAACTCCAAGGTCAACTGGGAAAAGCATGTCTTCCCAGAAGAATTTTATCTAAAATAAGGAAAGATTTTGGTGGGGAGCCTGAGTCTCACTCAGGTCCCAGATGGAGATCTCCAACCCCAGGATAAAATACTCATGTGATATTGAACAGAAAGTCTGGTGATGCTGCTGTTTTACTCTGAAGCTGGAGATATTCCTCCAGGCAAAGCCATTATCAGAAATGGTGAGCATTAACTCAGAGCCCATCCCCAATGGTGCTCAGAGATTTATTTTGATGTTCTGACTCCTGATATATGAAAGCAAGTAACTAGATCTGTTCTCATGACTATTACCACTAACCCAGAACCATTTTCTGTCTAGGGCTGGGGAGGAAGAAGTTTGTAAAGCAGCAAGTTACCAAAGGGTGAGCTTCTAGTATGCTCACCCAAGAATTTCCAAAATCATAGCCATGGGAGCAAAGGCTCTGTGAAATGCCCCGGAAGATTCTGTATGCCATCTTTATCCTGTTTGGGGGGCCAATTATAGATTATGGGACAAAGGTAATATTAGCAATAATATGGGCTTCAGCCTTGCAGGTCTCTCCCTAGGGCAAGGAACCAGATCCCCTTCCTGGATCCATGATTTTAGGAAACCTCAAGTATCTTTGTGCACCTCCTTCCTAATTTCTGAATTGAGTTTGCTATTTGCTATTACCTCCTCAGCAAAGTTCATTCTCTAATAACAGGCAGTGTAGATGAGATATTGGCCAGTGGTCTAATTTTCACATGCATGAGCAAGTTCTGGAAAAAGGACAAAAATGAGTGAATAAGGAGAATGGTTGAAGAGTTATCCCTTCCCTTCTCTTCTATCTCCTCAGTGTTACCAGTAGTTGTGCTCATCTCTCAGTAGCACTGTCCACAGCTCTTTTCAAAGGTGGGGTTTCTGTGTCCTATATTGATGCTGTGTATTTGACTGAGGGACACTGAGATTCTCTGCGTGAACCACTGCTCAGATACCTGTGTCCCATCCTAGAAGAATGGAGTGGGTGTTAGTAATTTAGTCCCTGTCTCATGGAAGTGAATTCCAGTTAGCTATAAATTCTATCATCTCTGGTTCTGGTTTTTCTTTCCTCTTTATCCAGTGCTTTTAGAATTAATGCTGTCCAGAGAGAAAGGACAAAAATAAAATCCAAGTCCAAAATGTCATTTCATAGTTATTTCAAATTGTTGATTTCTATAGTTAAAATGCCCAATGACTTTTATTTCTCATCCCACAACCTAACCTAATGCCCTACCCTCCATTCTTCATAAAATAAAAAATAAAAACTTCGTAAAATATTTATTATAGGAGAGATATCTTTCAGTAAGGATCAAGAAGCATAGATCAGTCACAATCCAGATCACTGACACACAAGTGTGAATGGGTATGTATATTAGTCAATTCATAAACATTTATTAAATGTCTACAATATGCCAAGTACTGTGCAAGATTGTTATTTGTCCTTTCTCAAAGAGGATCATGACATCAGGGAGGTGATGCCATGACATGCAAGTGAATTGGATTTAAGTGAGGGAGGGCTGTGCAAAGCCACCAGCCTCACTTTATCCTCCAGAGCCATCTGGGTCCAGTGGCAAGATTAGATCAGGACGAATGGAGATGATCAAGATTACAGTGGGAGACCATGGCCTTTTTATGCTAAGGTCTGTAATAAGTCTTAATCTGACTGATACAACACCCATTCAGTGATTAAGTCCAGGTAAGAAATGAAACAGAGAATGGCTTCTTTTACTTAGTTAAAAAAAAAAATCAATTTGAGAGGGGAAGACCCTGGGAGGGATTTCTGGCCAAAACAGAAACAATTGCTATTTACAATCACTCTGAGCCAATCAGGGCCCAAGGAATGACCAGGTGGGGCTTGGCCTGGAACTTATTATTGGCCAATCAATGAGAGCAAGAGTGACTTGAGTTTAAGGCATGGTCCTTAATGAAAAATAAATCTAGCCCTTAAACCCCAAAATATCTCGGGAGGTTTCAACAATCAAAATTTACATTCCTTTGGGTAGAGTACCCACAAGTAAGGGTATGATACACTATGTGGACAGAGGGAAAGGAAAGGAAAGAAGGAAGGAAGGAAGGAAGGAAGGAAGGAAGGAAGGAAGGAAGGAAGGAAGGAAGGAAGGAAGGAAGGAAGGAAGAAAGGAGTGAAGGAACCATTAGCTGCCTGAAGTAGCTAAAGAGGCAAAGATGAGTAAGACAAAGTGTGTGTCCTCAAGACACTTATAATCAAGTAGCAGTAGCCAGTAAGGATGTACAGTTAGCCATACTAAAGAATTACATCATTAATCTCAAAATACTTTGAAGCCAGAAGTCCCCTTCAAAAAGGTTCCAACAACAAATGCCAGAGCAAAATGATTCCTGCCCCCAAAGATCTTATATTATGTCAAGGAAAACAACATACCTGCATATAAACAAATACAAAATATATGAAAAGAGATTCAAGGTAAAGGGCAAAAGTTTAACAGGCTGAGATTAGTAACACATTCATATTTAGGGCAGCAGAAAGAATAATAAAAAAAAATTTCTATGGCACTATCAGGGAACTTATTCAACCACTCAAGTCTGAAGCTCTGTTACATTGAATAGTATTTACTCTGGCAACCTCAGGTCAGACTCTATGCATTCACCTGATAAAACCAGGATTCCATGACCTGGGGTCCAGGTATATGATTTAAAAAAAACTATTTTGATAACTGTATTCTGTATTTTGATAACTGTATTTCAATATAATCAGTTCTTTTTATGCCCCTATATTTTCTTTTATGTATTTAAAATATTATTTGAGAAGGGTCCATAAGATTCACTAGATTGACAAGAAATGGTTAAGAATTCTTTTTCCCCTCAATCCCAAGAGCACCCTAAATTTGAGTCTAGACATGGCCAGAAGATGGCAAAATTGTGAAGTAGATGCAATTAGCCTTCAATATCTGTCCTGAGTTTCAGTAGCACCTTATTCACTTTGTCAGGAGCCAAGGGATTTTTATACCACTTTGGCTTTCTGATACTGTCACCCCATCCTCTCATGAGTACACACTTTGAACCTTCCTGTCTGGGCAGTGTAGCACGTACTAAACTTTTCCTGACCCTTTGGTATTAAAATTTGCTTGTCCTAAATCTTTATCCATTAGGATCCTGCTTTTCATTAGGTGAAAATTAGTCAACTCAACAAACTCATTCATACTAACATGTTTATTTGATATACTTTGAAGCATAGTAATAACAAATAAATAATAACGGTAACATTTATGGGTCCTTTTGGAAAAAATGATCTGACTCAAATGTGGGAATTTTACTTATGATGGTAAGGTAATGATGTAGGGTCAAGTGACATCCCCAGAAATTCATCTGGCCTTGAAAATAAAGGATGAATTTTCTCCTTTGCTCACTTAAAGACTATGGACAGGAGACCTGATACAACCTTCAGACTAAAAGTAAAGAGAACCTGAAAGGTGCTTCCAGCAGAAAGTATTTGGTGTTTGGTCTGCCAAAGCATGGATGAGAAGTTTACAGACCTGTGTGAAGGCATGCTCTTTAGAGCAGCTGACTTCATTGAGAGGATGAGGAATTAGTAATCACAATAACCAGATATCAGCAAAGTGAGCACCATAGTGAGCTTTACTGACAGTTTAGGACAGTCAGGGCAGCTGTGTCATACCGCTGAGCCATCCATGCTTCTTGAAAACAATATACTTAGTCAGTTCCTGCTCCTTCCTTGTGTTTGGGAGAAAGCAGAACTCAAAAGCCCACCTGCCCTTCAATAAAACCATTCCTCAGTCCTGATTAATTCTGAGGGGGTGAGGAGATTTATGCTGTGTGTGGTATATATTTAACCCCCTACTTCTGTCTACAGACAGACCTCGCCCCTGAAGAGCATGACTGCAAAAAATCATTCGACAGTGACTGAATTTATTCTTGCTGGGTCAACTCACCAGGAAGAGCTCCAGCTCCCCCTCTTCATTCTCTTCTTAGTGATCTATGTAGCCAATGTAGTGGGGAATTTGGCCTTGATCCTGTTAATTGTACTGAATTCACATCTTCACACTCTGATGTACTATTTAATCAGCAACTTGTCCTTCATTGATCTTTGTCATTCTTCTGTCATCACACCCCGAATGCTGATTAGCTTCTTGTCAGAGACAAACACCATCTCTTACCCTGAGTGCATGATTCAGCTCTGTTTCTTTCACATTTTTGCTATTGCTGAATGCCACATGTTGGCAGCAATGGCATATGACAGGTATGTTGCCATTTGCAGTCCCTTACTATACAATGTCATTACGTCCTATCAAGTTTGCTCTTTTCTTGTAATGGGAGGGTACTTTCTGGGGATTATTAATTATACTATCCACACAGGCTTCATGCAGAGATTGTTGTTTTGTAAGGCCAATGTGGTCAACCATTACTTCTGTGATCTCTTTCCACTCTTAAGCTTCTCTTGCTCCACTACTTACATCAATGAAATGTTGATTTTATGTTTCAGTGCATTTAATATACTTGTCCCTACCCTAAGCATCCTTAGCTCTTACATCTCTATCATCAAGAGCATCCTCCGCATCCATTCCGCTGAGGGCAGGTACAAAGCTTTCACCACTTGCACCTCCCACATTGTTGCTATTATTCTTAGTTATGGCTCTGCCATGTTTGTATATCTGCAGCCATCTTCAATCAACTCTATGGACCGAGGAAAAGTATCTTCTGTGTTTTACACTAATATATTTCCCATGCTGAATCCCCTCATTTACAGCCTCAGGAATAAAGATGTTAAAATTGCACTGATAAAAACCCTTGAATAAATAGGATTTTCATGAGAAGACTTGTGTTGTGACCTTCGACAAATTGCCTGAATTATTCATAAAAGACCTAGTGGAAGAGAACTTTCTCCAAGACAGTATATCGAAAAATCAAGATTTTGTTTTTCCTAACACTTTCAGACTTCCTTGTTCACTTTAAAGTTATCAATGTCCAACATGATGGTGAATCCAGATACAATGATATTATTAACTACACTGTAAAAAATGTTGTAATTATAAAATATATATGAATTATGTATGTATCTATGCCTGAATATAGAAATGAATGAAGTATCTATCCCTAAAAAATGTGCTTGAATGAAACTTTGCGACCAATATAAAATTGCTGCAAGGCAGAAGACATAGGTGTTAGATACTACGTTTTACTTTTGGAAACTGTACTCCTCTCCACCCCAAAAAAAACTTTGTGCTAACTGAGCAGATTTCAATACATTCAGTTTTTAATAGATGATGGCAATCTCACTGAAAAGCGAGACAGTAACCAGAGACCAGGAGCAAGAAAACAATTGAATGACAAGAAATAAAGTTAAGAGTGACTGATAAATGGTCAGGGACAGAAAGACTAAACAGTAGAATAGGAGTAGAAGCAACCACAAGTCAGAGAGAGAAAGGCAAGTTGGAAGTCAGACAAGGAAGTCAGTGGGCCTTAGTACCATAGGGAGATTGCCAGGGCAGCTGTGAGCTACTGATATATTTTCCTTCCCCTATATCAGGCAGACTAAAGGGTTAACTGGGCATGAGAACCCAATTATTTGGTTATTAGTGAGTAGAAGACTTGGTACTATATCTAATTCCATATGATTACCTGTTAATCTGTTTCATTAAATGTCTTTGATTTGATATTTGCACATATATATGTATACATATATATATCTATGTCTATATGTCTATTAATGATTTCAAAGCTGTTAATTACTGTTTCTGCCATATTTGAGCTCTAAATTGTTGAGGTATTTTATCTTTTTTTTCTTTTAAAAATGTTATTTTTCTCATGAACTTAATTGACAACAAATATAACCATTCCAATATACGAAGAAGACAAAAAAAGAGGATTGTATTTGAAATTGTGAATTATTCTTTTTGAACCACTTATTTTTAAGTTGTATATTAAATGAATAATAAACCTACCTTCTTCATTTGTATCCACTTTTGAATGTATTTTTGTTTGCTTCTGTGTATTTTACTGACATCTTTCTTTCTTTCCTTTTTGGGAGGGCTATCTCTGTCTCTTATGAGATGCCTACTCTCCAAAGGAAGTAAGAACTCCATGCTATTCTCCAGAAACTGTTTTTCTGTCATTGCTTTTCCCCCGACTTGAAACTCCACATTATAGGAGTAGGGATGTGTTTGGAAGCAAAATGGGAGTTGGTAGTCAGGTACCAATTGATGACTTCTCAAACACAAGTTCATCTACAAAGCAGAACTATGACAAAGAAGCTCTTGGCATCATCATTGATGTCAAAAGAAATTTTACAATTCCAGAGATCAGCTATTTTTTTCTAAAATCAATGTATTGAATATAATTAATGTAGTCTCTATCATTCTTTTTTTATGGCAATTTTTATTTATTTATTTATTTTTGTTTTCAACATTTACTTCCACAAGATTTCGAGCTCCAAATTTTCAGCCCATCTCACCCCTCCCCCACCCTAAAATATCCTGCATTCTGAATACCCCTTCCCCTCGTCTGCCTTCCCTTCTATCTCTCCCCCCTTCTCTTATCCCATTCCCCTTCAATTTTCCTGTAGGGTAGGATGGATTTCTGTACCCCATTTCCTGTATTTCTTATTTTCCAGTTGCATATGAAAACATTTTTTTAAAACATGTGCTTTTAAAGCTTTGGGTTCCAAATTTTCTCTCTTCCTCCTTCCCCAACCACCCTCATTGATAAGGCAAGCAACTAAATGTAAGTTATATATGTGCAGTTATGCAAAACACTTCCATAGTAGACATGCTGTGAAAAACTAACTCTATTTCCCTTAATCCTATCCTACCCACCCCATTTATTCTAGTCTTTCTTTTGACCCTATCCCTCCTCAGAAGTATTTGCTTCTGATTACCCCCTTTCCCAATCTGCCCTCCTCTCTATCATTTCCGTACTCCCTTGTCCCCTTCCCCCCTCCCTATTTTCCTGTAGGATAAGACAGATTTCCATACTCAATTGAGTGTGCATGTTATTTCCTCCTTAAGTCAAATCCTATGAGAATAAGATTCACTCATTCCCTCTCACCTTCCCCCGTTTCCCCTCCACTGTAAGAGTCTTTTCTTTTCTGGTTTTTTTTGTGAGATAATTTACCCTGTTCTACCTCTCCCTTTCTCGTTCTCCTAGTATAATCCTCTCTCACCTCTTAATTTTATTCTCCAGATATGACCCCTTCATTTTCAACTCACCCTGTGCCCTCTATCTACCTATCTATCTATCTATCTATCTATCTATCTATCTATCTATCTATCTATCTATCTATCTATCTATATATACGTACATATAATTTTTTCCCCTCCAGCTACCCTAATACTGACAAAGGTCTCATTAGTTACAAATATCATCTTTCCATGCAGGGATATAAACAGTTCAACCTTAATAAGTCTCTTATGATTTTCTCTTTCCTGTTTACCTCTTCATGTTCCACTTGAGTCTTGTATTTGAAAATCAAATTTTCTATTCAGCTCTGGTCTTTTCATCAAGAATGCTTGAAAGTCCTTTATTTCACTGAATGACCATTTTTTCCCCTGAAGGATTATACTCAGTTTTGGTGGGTAGGTGATTCTTGGTTGTAATCCTATCTCCTTTGCCCTCCGGAATATTATATTCCATACCCTGCGGTCCCTTAATGTAGAAACAGCAAAATCTTGTGTTATCCTGATTGTGTTTCCACAATACTTGAATTGTTTCTTTCTGGCTGCTTGTAACATTTTTTCCTTGACCTGGGAACTCTGGAATTTGGCTACAATATTCCTAGGAGTTTTCCTTTGGGGATCTCTTTCAGGAGGAGATCGGTGGATTCTTTCCATTTCTATTTTGCCCTCTGGTTCTAAAACATCAGGACAGTTTTCCTTGATAATTTCTTGAAAGATGATGTCTAGGCTCTTTTTTTGATCATGGCTTTCAGATAGTCCAATAATTTTTAAAATCTCTCTCCTGCATCTATTTTACAGGTCAGTTGTTTTTCCAATGAGATATTTCACATTGTTTTCTAATTTTTCATCCTTTTGGATTTGTTTTACAGTGTCTTGATTTCTCACAAAGTCACTAGCTTCCAATTGCTCTATTCTAATTTTTAAGGAAGTATTTTCTTCAGTAAGTTTTTGGACCTCTTTTGCCATTTGAGTTAGGCTATTTTTTAAGGTGTTATTTTCTTTAGTATTTTTTTGGGTATCCTTTACCAAGCTGTTGACTTGATTTTCATGATTTTCTTGCATCACTTTCAGTTTTTCCTCTACTTCTCTTACTTGCTTCTCAAAATCCTTTTTGAGCTCTTCCAAGGCTGGGACTGATTCATATTTTTTCTTGGAGGCTTTGAATATAGGAGCTTTTTACTTTGTTGTCTTCTTCTGGTTGTATGTTTTGCTCTTCTTTGTCATCAAGGTAGGATAATATAGTCTGACTCTTTTTGCACTGCTTACTCATGATGCCAGCCAATTATTTGAGTTTTAAACTCTTTGTTAAGGTAAAAGTCTGCTTCCAATGTGGAGAATGTACTGTCCCAAGCTTCAGAGGTTTGTACAACTGTTTTCAGAGATGCTTCTAGGCATCTGAAAATTTTCAGTTCTTCCAAGGTGCTATAATAAGGGGCGAGGTGTTTTCTCTCCACCACCACAACAAGCTCCACCACACCAGTGCTCCTCCTTGCCCCAGGACCGCACCTCAGAACTGTGACCCAGATCCAAACACCTGTAAAACAAGAGATTCCTGCCTTAGCACTGGCGAAGAGAACCCTACAATCCCCCTCTGATCAGCCACTCAATTCCCCCTCAGTCTTTGGACCAGAAGCTCAGGAAACAGCTGTGGCCCCGGGCTGTGCTCGAGACTTGTGGCTGAGACCTAGCTCCTCTTTCACTGCAGTAACAGACTTTTCCCACTGACTTTCCAAGTTGTCTTTGGCATTCATGGGTTGAGAAGTCTGGAAACTGCCACAGGTGCCTGCGATTCAGTCCTCTGAGGCCTGCTCCAGGGTCGCTGCAGCCTGTGCGCCCATGCCAAACTGCGCTCCTCTCCCCACCTGGCGCGATATACATTTCTGATCAACCATCCATGCTGTCTTTGGCTGGAAATTTGTTTCACTCTGTCTTTTTGTAGATTCTGCTGCTTTAGAATTTGCTTAGAGACATTTTTTATACGTATTTGGAGGGGTTTGGGGGGAGAGCTCAAACAAGTCACTGCTTTCCCTCCTCCATCTTGGCTCTGACCCCAGTCTCTAACTTTCAAGTAGAAAAAAATTAAGATTTAAATAACTTACATCAGAATGTATATATCAAATCAAAGAAATAGAAAATACATATAGTATTGAAGAATAATTCAGAAGAATAGTGAACTTAACTTGGTTCAGACATTTGGCAATCCCTCTCTGTTTCCCTCTCACTGGGCTTTCTTTCTGTCTGTATCTAAATTGCCTGCTACTGGTAGTAGACACATCCCAAATGAACAACCTTTTAAGTTTTCCAATTGTAGCTAAAAATGTCTTGCTGGTTTTCCATTAAGAAAAATAACACAACTTTCTACAATTTTGGAGGGTTTTTTATAAATATGAATTTATATAATATGATATTAATGTAGTTATATATTATGTAATGTATAATGCATTATAAAATAAATATGACGTAACATATAACAAATATATAAATAAATTTATAAACATAATTTTGGGAGGTTTTTATAAATAAATGATGCAATCACATTTCCTAATTTTATAAATGAATGGTAACTGAAGTCCTGAGTTGTTGCTTGTCTAGGTGACATATTAAGTTTCAGAAACAGTGGTACC